TTAACATGGAAAGCTATTTAAAAGACAGAATTAAATCGGAGACAAAGGTGCAGGTTCATAAAACTCCCAGTCCTACCCTTGTAAAATCAAAGATAAATCTCCAAAAGCACTAAATCCCATGTAATCACTGAAAATTCCTATTCTCTTAAAAGGGAGCTGGATTAGGCCTCTAATTAAGTTCAGTAAAGTCTGTTTGGTCCAGATGAACAACTGAGAGATGGACAATATCCAAGGAACAACTTTATGATATGGTCTCAACATCCTCCACTACAACTTGCCAACACAACTGCTCCCGCTGTTACCCTTCAAACACTGGAGTAAAGCTATTTTTGCCTGTTACTGCTAAATACATTTTGCCTTTGCCTAGCAAAAAAAGCAATATCACATCTAATCTCACAAGTTCCCAGTGAGCCAAACACAAGATACTGTCCCTTGAATTCTTCCTGAGACCAACAAAGGCTTTCCATTATTTACAAATCAAAAGCATTTAGAGACAATCATCTGTATTTTTTTATTTAAAACAAGGAATGCCCTGTCACTATTATATAAGAAAAAAATATACATCCTCCTATTTATACCCATCTTAACCAAGCATTCCAAAAAATATAAATCCTACTCATGCAGGTAATTGCTGCACAAAATAATAATAATAATAATAATAATAATAATAATAATAATAATAATAATAATAATAATAATAATAATAATAATAATAATAATAATAATAATAATAATAATAATAATTTATAAATAAAATTAAAATAACAAAATACACTCTCCTGTTCCAACAATTTTTCCAATTTATCCTAGGAATTCTTCTTGCAAATTGTTGGAACAGTTGAAAATTATAAAATTAAATATAGTTAAATTAATATGATTATTTGCTTTTGATTATTAGTTCCATTGCTAGTTTTTCTTGTGTTTTTATTATGCATACCAGTTTTACAAAGTGCATGCTTTATTTTTTTTTTTTAATTTTGAACTGGCAAGCTAAAATGATCCATCTTCTCCTGCCTTTTTTTTTTTTTTTTATGTTAATACAATCTAAAATCTAGCATTAAAAAATTTACCATGATACACCTGGTATATTGACTGCTTATGGCGCATGCTTCTCTCGGCAAAAAAAAAACCAAAACAAATTGGCTCCCCTCCCACCCTCCCCGTTCCTTTTTGGAAGCAAATCTAAAAAAGCAGGCTGGAACACAATTGCTTCAAGGGCAAAAGAAAAAAATAATTCCTGATGCTTTAATTTTTGTCACATGGCACTGGTTGTGGAATTGCACGCGCACACATACGCACACGCACCCGGCACTCACACAGGCACACGCACACACACTGCAACCTGCTCGTGAGGAAAAAAGTTTGTTAGGTCAGGAGTGCCAGTGGCACATGAAGGCTCCCAGCTGTGTGTGCAACTTTGGATTTGGTACCCACTTCACGTCACCTTGAATCCTCTGACATCCACCAAGGGGGTAATGTAAGGCATACTTTGCTGGAACAGTAATAATCCATGCTTCATGCTCAAGAGCTGAGTCTCAGAGGAGGACTGGCTTGCTCTACTCCCTTTGGCCTCGCTCCGTCTCACTCAAGGAACAAAAAAACCAAAACAACAAAGAACTGGGAAAAACAAGGAAAGCAAAATAAGACAAATCCCTTTAAATGGACTTTCGCCGTTTCATCAGCCTGTGGTTATCTGTAAAGCTGTGCAACCCAGGTGAGATGGAGCTGACAGGAGATGGGAAAAGGCTGTTTTTTAATGTGCTTGGCGAGATCTCCTCTATCTTGTAAGAGATGGAGTGAAAGTACTGGGGGTTCAGCTTCGAGCTGAACGAATTTTGGTGGGACACCACCCGGCTGGTGTACTCGTGGGACCTGTAACACATGCAGGAACAAACTGACTGAAGGTCTGTTACTTCGGCCTTGTACCGTGGCCGACCATGCTGGGAGTCCTCTTGGATGTGGATAATCATGCTGTTGCGGTTCCCTGCCAGGGACGCCCGTTCCTCGGCATCCCTCCTCTCATCCTCACTGTTCATGGTCAAGAACCTGAGAACAACCAGATTTAGAAATGCCCCAATGACTGTCAACCCCACTAGAATGTACATAAAGCTAAAAGCCACGTAGAGAGGCTTCTTTTGAAGGGCCCCTTTGGTCTGCAGGGCCACATAGTCTCCAAACCCTATGGTAGTCAATGTTATAAAGCAGTAATAGTAAGCATGGAAAAAGCTCCATTCCTCGTACTGGGAAAAGGCTGCTGCTCCAATGCAGAGTGTCCCCATGCAGGAGAAGAAACCCACAGTGACCATGTTTTCCATGGAAACCTCGGTGCTCCTCATGCCGCAGCACTTTTTGATGCGTTTCAAGAGGTACTTGACGAAGGTGTTCATGCGCTCGCCCAGGCTCTGGAACATGACGAGTGTCAGTGGGATCCCCAGGACTGCGTAGAACATGCAGAAGGCCTTCCCCGCATCCGTCCCTGGGGCAGCGTGTCCGTAACCTGGCAGGGGGGATGGAAACACACGACAGTCAGCAGGGCAGGTGATGGCCATGGTTGCCCCATCACGCAGGCCACGCAAATCGCTCTGACACCACAGCCAGGTCCCGAGCTGAAGGGACACTGCAGTCACACCACCTCCCCATATCTCCTCACCCACACCCTGTGTCTGAAGTAAACAAGGCACAGAACAACAACGTTCATGCAGGAGTGGGAAAGGTGAAAGAATGAGCAACCCATTCTATCTCAATGTTCTACCTCAACAATGTTGAGTCTCCTAAACAAGGTCATATCGCATTGATTAACTGAAGAAATTTCATGTCTGTTTAGTGCCAAGGCAGAAGTGGAAGCTTTGGAAATAAATGGACTTTCCCAGTGTTTTTGAGAGTAGTTGGCGTTGCTCTGTCCCAAAACCAGAGTATTGTGATGGCACAGAGTTAACAACAACCCAGTCCCACCAGCCAAAGAAATTCCCTTTCAAACTCTCCCATACTGAGTAAGTCTTTCTCCTAGACACCTAATGAAAGTGACTCATTGCTGGAATGCCATAGGAATTTAGGGATTTAATGCCCATTCTACATTTACTTACTGGAAGAATAAACAACTTACCATCTTGTACCATAGTTTTACAGATTTGAAAGTTAGTATGGCAAAGGCAATTTCATCAGGATGCTAAACTAATCCAAGAATAGATGATGTACCACATTTCATAGCATAGTTTTCAGACAGTAAAATCATGGCTAAGCCTTTATTCTAAATCAAACCATAAGTGAGGGGCTGTTTTGATTTTATAATTATACCTATTCAGATGACATTGCTTTAAAAATCTGCATTTCTTACAGCTGAGATTTTAAGAGACTGTACCAAAGTCTCCAACAGGAGTTGGCTGAGACCCACTTAGCCTTTGTGTCCATTCACCATGTGGGTACTACTATCTAGAGTCCCTTTACAGCCAGTGAGTGGAACTATGTACTTCACAAGGGCAGTTCCTGTCGTGAGATGGCAGAGATGTCTAAAACAGGCCAGTGAGTTATTCTTAGGACACAAGCATTTCTCTACAATCATTATAATAGAAATCTTGGGACAGAACTCTGTTCAAGATTGATATACCTACATTTATGTATCTGCATGTGTTCTATGTGTCCAAACTCCTGTTATAGTCAACAAAAATTCTATGAAAACAGGCAGTAGTGAGTTCTTTCACCGACCATCCCAAGTCTGGCAAGATGAAATGACAGTTCTGACTGTTCATTGATCATGTTCATTAGGTCCCCATTAGACTGACTAGACATCTGTTACTGAAGAAGAATTTAGGCACCCACAGCACTGGCAGACAACTACCTGTAAACAGCCAAATGAAGCTATCCTAATCATGATAGTCACCTTGATTTAATGTCTCCAGTAGGTACCTGCACTGGAGATTTTGAGGGTTTAAATCAGTTTTCCAGAAAGAATCATCTCACTCTATACGAGACCCCTGAGATATCAGGATACCCATAGGTGCTGGCAGATAAAATTCAGGGCATTCAGCAGACCCACACTCATACAGATCTGAAGCTGGAGGACAGACCTGACATGGGATATAACTGAGGCAGAACCACTGAGGAGCCCTGCCCATCACCTTCAGACTCAGGTCATGGACCTGCTGCTCTGAATTAGTCTAATTATTTTTCTAAACTGTTGACACTGCACACCTCCTCAATCTCCTGTGGCAACAAATTCCAGAAGTTCACTATCTGTTATGTAAAAAAGGTACATTTTAATTTCAAGGGTATCTCCTTGTTTCAGCTAGAACACCTTAGTTACAGAAATGAAGTTCTAAATCTTCCTTATCTACCACCTTCACGTTTTCAGCTAAACTCAGCTTTATCTCTGCTCTCAGCTTTTTCCTGTCTAAACTGAAGCAAAAGCCTTTTAAACTCATATAGCATAAGTCACTTTTCCTTGATCATTTCCGTGTCCTTCTCTGGACCTTCTGTAGCTCTGCCACACCAGTGCTGAGGTGCAGAACCCAGAATTCTGCCTTCCTCTCAGGATGGGGCTCTATCTCAGAGTCTGCACTTTTACTAGAACTAAAATACGAACACCAGGCAGCCTTCAAAATGTAAAGCAAAAGCAGACAAGGAAAATAAAACAAGAAAATCAGCAAGAATCCCCTTCAAAAAGCAAAATATTTATTCTTAGGTCAGTTGGTATTTGTTGATGGATAGGTTGTATAAACCACTTTACAAAAGAAGCACAAAACTCAAAATAGGAGGTTCTTTTCCAGGTTATAGAGGAAAGAGATTCATCTGTTGTATTGAGCCAGGTATTCTCTTCATCATAAAAAGCAGTTTCCAAATTACCTGGAAAGGGAAGTGTCTTCACCAGATTGATGCTGGGTTAGTTCCACCTGATGGTCCCTCAATAAAGGCTATAATTGCCTCTCATTACTAAGATCAGCTTTTAAACTACAGGGGTGTTAATTAAACCAGGGACATCTTCCTATTTTATAGCTTTAGTTACAGATGATAAAGAGAAGGAAAGCTTCAGAAAATGTGATTTTCCAGATGGTTGCAAAGATGGCAGTTGGTGGAAACAACTTTTACTTTGGGTTCTAAAAAAAATATTTGGGGTGAAAAAAGGTTTCTTTTGCTCTCACTATATTTCTCATTAAATATATCCCCAAGAAACAGTTTAGGGACATAATAAAACATTAATATTATGTGTTTGCATGTTATCTCACAGTTTAATTTCTAAGATTTGTCACAGACTTGGTAATTATTTATCCTATAAGATACAAATATATCCAGATCCCTGTTTTACAGATAGGGAAGCACAGACACCAGCAGGCTTTAGTTTCCCTCCAATTCACATACGGAGATAGAAAATCCAGAAATTCTAACTTCTATTCCTCCCCAAGTCATACTCACATTCCCCAATATCAGATAAATGTCTCTTACTGTATTTTCACCACGAATCTGGGGTAAAGGACTTTATTCATGAAGCTGGAGTAAGACTCTACAAATAGATTAGTGTATAGAGGATTAGAGTCACATATTTATCCTATACAACAAGGCTTTAAGGAATTGCCATTGCTTAAACACTCTGAAATGAGGGGTATGACAATACACCAAAGACAGACCTAACTCTCCATTACTTAAGCATTGCAGAACCTATCCAGCACTGTACAGAGTAATACATGGAAAGCAAACTGCAGCACTGCATGTTCTCTGAAATTCAGTATTTTTCAAATCTAAAACAAACCATTGTCTTCTTAAGATCAGAGAATGCCTCTGGGAAAAAGGGGAAGGTGAATAATCGCCAGAGGAAGAGGGGCACACAGGAGCAATAGTGCTGGGAAAGGACACAGGTCACAGAGTCAGTCTCCAGGTAGCTGGGTTTTACTTGCATTAAATAAAGGCAGAAGCAACTGCCTTGGTAGCAGATTCCAGCTACCAAGATTCTTCCTGATCTCTACACGAATATCACTGCCCCTTAGTAGAGTACAAAGAGATGACTTTGTGTCATCATTAACAACACAAGGCTTAAAGAAAAACAGAAATGTTAATTATGACATCAGGGCTTCTCTCTCTTCTGTGGTGAAGAAGAAAGATGAAACAGAAGACCTTAGTACTGGATACAGGAAATGCATCCCTTAACAAGCCACAGAACTCAGGTAAGAGTCAGAAAGGTACAGATGGAGCTTTACACTGGACCACACCTGAACAAACACTGCCCATCCTACTCTAGTATAGGAACTGGTACCACAATACAGCAAAGTGACCACAGCAGGCAGCTTTGTCTGGTGTTTAATGAAATATCATTTGAATGATCAAGGAAAGTCTAAATAACTCTCACTCTGACTGGAAGCAATGTCATTAGTACTCTCCCTCACTTTCAAAACCCGTCCCAGCTGCTTAGGCTTTCAAGACAGAGCTCATCTGGGCTGGCACCAAGAAGAATAGCTTGGCACAGAGAAATGTCATGTTTCAGTGTTACTCCGGTTCTGGACTGTGAAGCACCAATACACCACAAAATCCATCTCCTCCCAGTCATGGAACAGCTGGGCTACAGACACCAAGCAGAACTGCAGGAAGGTGTAGGCAAGGGAAGAAAAGACTCACACTGTAAGGGGTAGCACCAAATCAGTATTCTGTTTGGGTCTTCCCTGCCTTTGGTTTCTCCAGGCCTTGTCCATTCTCTGATGAAAAACTCTCAAAGAACATGTGCACCTACCTACATGGAATTCTAGAAGAAAAAAGAAATTTCATTTTCTTCTTTGCCAGAGTGTAGCTATAAAAGTCTGAAGAAAAAACACTTAGAGCCTTCTTCAATACTAATTTTCCTATGGTGCCTTTCAGATGAGACACAGAGAGAAACTATTCATTACAATCTCTATGAGGTCCAGCTGGGGACAACCCCACTATTTTTCTATGGGCTGTAAGGAGACATTGTCCTGGTGCACCAGCCCACAACCAGAACATGCAGAGGAGCTCTGTGCACAGCTACCCTGAATCCAACAGCGTCCACAAGCAGATGGCTGAGGAAGAGCAGGATAGGAATGCTACAATTACATGTGAATTTTCCCCCAAGAAGTCATGTACCCAGCTTCATTATTTGGTGCTCAGGGATTTCTTAAGCCGGTTTTTGCTGGGTTTAGTAACACAAAATGGATATCTCTTCCATGATCTTGGGCATTGTCCCTTCCATGTCTTTAACATCTTGTGGCAAGAAGGTTCATAGAACAATCATGTGCTCTCTAAAAAAATTGCCATTGCTCCTTCCCTTTCATTACTATCATTTGATGGCAATGGTATCTCCTCCTTTTTGGAAGAGACCAGGAACCCATTCCCCATTCCCCTTTCTTTGTGTCACTCATAACTTTATAGATCTTTTATCCACAAAAATACCATGTTGCATTCAGGCCCCAAGCAAGTATCTCTGACACTTTGCAGCCTCATGTGGACAGAGCAGCTTGCTTAGATCTAGATCAGTAACTTCTGCACCACACTCATTTGCAG